TGTCACTTTATGAATGTCATTCTAAATGCTTTAATTCCATAACATGAACAGCTACTTCTAAGATGACAATGTGTAACTTATCAACCAGCAATTTCTTACCGTTTGTTTTTCTGTAAGTTTGTATCATTTCTACCCTTTTTTAAAATCTCCATGTATTCTTTTGTTTCCTTTTCTTTAAATAAAAAATTAAAAAAAAAAAAAAGAAAAAATGTGTTTAAAAACTCACCAACAAAGAAAAGCCCAGGTCCTGATGGGTTTAAGGCTGAATTCTATAAGAAATTTAGAGACAAGTTGATGCCAATATTCCCCAAACTTTTCAATGAAATTGAGAGGGAAGCAATTCTTTTTTTTTTTTTTTTTAATCGGTACCGGGGATCGAACTCACAACTGCCTGCTTGCAAGGCAGGTGCTTATGCCGCTGAGCTAAATCCCCAGCCCCAAGAAGCAATTCTTGCTAACTCATTCCTGGAGACAAGTATTACTCTGATACCAAAACCAGAGAAAGACTCAACAAAAAGGAGAACTATAGGCCAATTTCCCTAATGAACACTGATGCAAAACTTCTCAATAAAATACTGTCAAATAGACAGTAATCAAATCATCAAAAAATTATAGATCATGATCAAGTGGGATTTATCCCAGGAATGCAGTAATGGCTTAACATATGCAAATCAATAAATGTAATACATCACAACAACAGAGCAAAAGACAAAAATCACATGATCATCTCAATAGGGGCAGAAAAAGCTTTTGATAAAGTTCAACATTTGTTCATGATAAAAACCCTACAGAAACTTGGAATAGATGGTACCTATCTCAATCTGATAAAAAGCCACTAATGACAAACCATCAGCTAACATTACACTAAACAGGCAAACACTGAAACCTTTCACTCTAAAATCAGGAATAAGTCAAGGAAGTCGACTATCACCATTTTTATTCAATACAGTTCTGGAAACATTAGCAAGAACAATTAGACAAAAGAGAGAAGAGCAATAAATATAGGAAAGGAAGAAGTTAAATTATCACTATTTGCAGATGACATGATACTCTACATAGAAGTCCCAAAAACTCTATCAAAAGACTACTAGAGTTAATCAGCAAATTCAGCAGTGTACCTGGATACAAAGTCAATACTCAAAAATCAATAGCATTCCTGTATACAAACAACAAACTCACTGAGAGAGAAATTATGGAAAGGACACTTTTCACAATAGCATCCAAATCAATGAAATACTTATTAGAATCAAACTAACAAAGGATGCAAAAGACCTATATATTGAAAACTCTAGTACTCTAAAAAAGGAAATTGAAAAGGATCTCAGAAAATGGAAAGATATCCCTTGCTCTTGGTTAGGAAGAACCAATATTGTGAAAATGGCCATACTTCCAAAACTACTGTACAGATTTAATGCAATCCCAATCAAAATACCATTAACATAACTTGTGGATCTAGAGAAAACGTTCCTAAAATCAGATCATTTGGAAACAGTAGAAACTTAAGAGTAGCAAAGGCAGTTCTGGGCAACAAAACAAGACAGGAGGCATCTCAATTTCTGACTTGAAATTATACTACAAAGCTATCGTAATAAAATCAGCATAGTATTGGCAAAGAAATAGACCTGAAGATCAACAGAACAGATTAGAAGATGCAGACACAATTACAAAGACCTATACATCAGCCACCTTATCTTTCAGAAAGATTCTAAACAGGTTCACTGGAAGAAAGATAGCCTCCTTAATAAATGGTGGTGGAAAAATTGGCTTTCCACATGCTGAAGACTGAACTAGACCCATGTCTATCACCATGCACTAAACTAAAATCAAAATAGTTTAAAAATCTAACTATTACAACAGAAACACTAAATCTTCTGAAAGACAAGGTAGGTAGAAATCTTGAAGACATACAGGCAGGCAAAGAGTTCATGAACAAAATGTAAACAGCACAGGAAGCACTTCAGAGAAACAACAGCTGGGATCTCATCTTATTAAAAAGTCTTTGCACTTAAAAACAAATCACCAACAAGTGAAAAGAAAACTCATAAAATAGGAAATAATTTTGGCCAACAGTCCCTCAGATGAAAGACTTATATCTAGAACATACAAAGAATCAAAAAACATTAAGCCTCCAAATTCAAAAACCTACTCCAAAAATAGGCATCTGACATGAATATGCATTTCTCAGGTAAAGATATACAAATGGCAAATAAATACATGAAGAAATGTTCACCATCACTGGTCATTCAAGAAATTCAAATTACAACAACATTAAGAGTCCATCTCACTCCAGAAAGAATGACTGCCATCAAGAAATCAACCAATAACAAATGTTGACAGGGCTTTGGGGAAAAAAGGAACACTTCTCCACTGCTGATGGGAGTATACACTGGTGCAGTTACTGTGGAAATCAGTATAGAGACTCCTCAAAAAACTAAGATTGGAAGTCCCATTCAATCCAATTATTCCTCTCTGAATATTTTCCCAGAAAAAATAAAAATGTCATGTCACAGCAATATATGTGCACCACGTTTATAGAAGCACAATTTGTAATAGCTAAATCTTAGAAACAACCAAAATGTCTATCAACTGCAGAATAGATGAAAAAGATGAGCCAGAGATTTGCAGCCTCCAGTGTAGACTAGTTCTAAGTAGTAGGTCCAAAAGCCTCTTTTTTTCCCTGCCTCTGTTCTCCTATGTTTCTCCACTTGGAGATGGAAACGTGATCAGAGGACATGCTTGGCAAGGGTACAGGATATACAGAAGAATTTGTGATTTTCTACTGTTGGATTTTAGAGATAAGCTTGTTACAGAATATTTTTCAAATTAAAGATAGTACTAATCTCTCTTAGTTCATCAAAAAGAACAGTTTGTGCTGTCATTGATTGGTCACTTTTGTATTTAAATTTTGTAACCTGAACAACTAGTTCTGAGATAACAATGTGCAATATATTAACTCCTGTTAATTCCCCACTTTTTTTAGATTCTGTATCATTTCTGTCCTTTTTTCTGTTTTGATTTTTAAAAGATAAATAAATAAATGAAATTTATGTTTCAGCAAACTCACTATTGGTATTTAGAAACACTACTAATTATTGTATATTGATTTTGTATCTTGCAACTTTACTACATTTTTTTCATTAGTTCTAACAGCTCTTTCATGAAGTTATAGCATTGTTTTTCATGGTTATCTGCTAATAAGGATAATTTACTTACTTCTTTCTAATTTTGATGCTTTTTATTTCTATTGCCTAATTTTTCTAGTAAGACTTTCAGTACCATGGTGACTATGAAAGTATACATTTTTGTCTTGTTTCAAATCTTGGAGGAAACATTTTCAGCTTTTCTCACATTTCATATGATGTGAGTTTGTCATTTGTAGCTTTTATTAGGTTAAGGTACACCTCTTTTTACAAAATTTGTTGAGAGTTATTCTTATTACCAAGTTGAATTTTGTCTACTGATCACATATTTTTTGTCCTTCACTCTGTTAATATAATGCATTAAATTTATTTGTTTGTACATGTTGAACTTTTTTTTTTGCCAGTCTAGGACACAGCTTGCTTACTATTTTCATCCTTTTGAGTTCCATTTGCTAGTATTTTGTTGAGAAGTTGATTTTCATTTTTTGTATATTTTTGAGACAGGGTCTTGATATGCAATTGCAGTTCAGGCTGGCCTTGTAGTCACTTTGTAGCCCAGGCTGGTCTCAAACTCATAATGATCCTCCTGTCTCAGCCTCCCAAATGTTGGAACTATAGGCATGTACCACCATACCTGGCCTGTTGAGAAGTTTTGCATCTGTGTTTATGAGGAATATTGTTCTGTACTTTTAATTTAGTGCTTTTGTATGATTTTAGTAACAGGGCAAAGCTGGCCTCACAGAATGATTTTGGAATAACTCCCTCTGAGAAAAGAAAATCTTTACCCCTTAGGTTCAAACCACTTTTCTTTGGGAAATATTCATCATGTAAAAGTGGCACATAGTCACCTGGGTGTTCTGCAATGTATCAAGGCAGGATGATCTAACCTACATGATGTCCTTCCACCAAAACTCCAGTTTCTGCTATGCCCACTCACCTTATTTTTCTTATAAATTTTCTTATGTTTTTCAGATGCTTCAACTTTATCTACAGCAGGTAAAATCTCAATAACAAAATAAGAGTACATCTTTCATCAAACTATGTCACCACAAATCATGTTGTAAAACTTTTAATTTTACTAAGAATTTTAACACATTTTCTATATGTGCCTACATATAGATAGGTAAATAAATGGCAGATAGATATGCCAAAGCAGTTATACCAAATTTAAAACTGTTTTGTTAAATGAGTCATTATTAAGTAAATTAGAAACTTAAAGATTTTTTAATTCTGCTTTATACCTTAAGATGAATATTATGATAAATATAATAACATGATCCCAGCTAAGCTTTTGCATTTAAGTAGTATTATAAAATGTTATATTTTTATAAAATATTAATATATACTGGAAAATAGTCTCAGGTATCCTTATAGTATATTTAGTTTCACCAAGTCTTGTAATGATAAAGTTAAACATTGAAAGATGTCCTCTTTCCTTAAATTTCCCAATCTCTTTCTTAATCTAATCAAACAGCATGTACAGTGCAATGAACTGACTCCAAAACTTAAGTTAATTTATAATGATTGTTCAAAGAACTTACATTTGAATCTAGAGAAGGACAGACACAACATGTTCAGTGAATATTAATTTAGAAACACAGTGACCAAGTCTTTCCATGCTATGTCTGCTTTAAGTCATAGCAACTAGCTAAGGCTCTGAGAAACCTCCCATCCTGACTCAGAACTCCAGGTATATGCTTTTTAAGATAATATAATTACAATCTAGACAGTGTAAATTTAAAATTTTAATAGTATTATTTAATCCCATGCTAACCCCCAAGAGTTTGTAAGATTTCAAATTCTTAAGACTTATTAACCTTTATAAAGCATCTCAGTCTGCATCTGACCTTCTGCCTCTGCTCATGTTTGATACAGAGCTGTACTTTTTGAGGAAAGAACTACAAAAGGAAAGGTCTGCGTCCCATCATGTGACACAGAGCTCCACTCCCAGGATCTTAAAGTTTGAATGCTGAAAGATGAAATTAGAGTTTTTAGTGATTTTGCTCCTATTTTTTTCAAACAAGTTATTTTAAACAATTAACATTTCTTATGTGTTTTCAAAACATCAGGTAATATGTTCCTGGAAAACATTGCAGGCTTAAGGTGCTCACTCACTGGTTTTTGTGAAGCTTCCCAGTTCAGGTATTGAGTTGATTCTAGAAATATCAGTACACACACAATGGGCTGATGAGAGGAACAGGTTTTCAGGTCAAGGAGGTACAAACAGGAGGAGCTATGCAAGGTGCTCAGCCTTCCTGTGCCCAAGAGATCAGAAAAGTATCACTGGATCCTGAAAGCTTAGTGGAGAAGAGGCAGCAGACTGGGTGCTAAATTGACCTAGGTCAATTGATAAATGAAGATAAGCTTCAACTAGTATTGAGGGCTTTCGAAACCAGGCTGAGGCATTAACATGGAAGAGCCTAAGCCTAGAAACTAGCTGAAAGGTAGCACAAACAAGACCCTTACCCAGATCCTGTGCTAACTCTTCCAAAGGAGCCCTGACCCATTGGATGGCAGCCCTGAGGGGTCCGGGAGGAGAAAAGGCTGTGGGGACACAAGGGTGGCACCTGGGGGCTTAGCATGGGTCTGTCTGCGGTGCAGATGAGTAAGAAAGAAGTCAAACAGGGAGCTCTGGCTTCTCATCCATCAAAGCAGAAGCAAAGACAGTGCTTGGTGAGACGAGACCACTAGTAAAAGGATGATTCTGGGTGAAGCTGAGATATGTGGGATATTCACTGGAGCTATGCAGAAAATAGATGGAAATGTAAGGATTTCATTACAAACATTATTTGGGAGTCACTGTATTAGGGCAAAATTAGCAGCAAAATTTTTGAAAGGACTTATTTGGGAAGCAAATGGTAACTCTTTTTCAAATGCCCATATAAAGTTGCTAAACTTGCTTATCTGAATGAAAGAGTACTAGGTGATTTTGAGAGTTTTTCTGCCAGAAGCCACTGTTTATTTGCTTAAAAATAATTTGAATGCATGTTCCTAACACCATAATTCTGTAGATTGTGCCAGATTTAGAAACTAGACACAACACTGAAAACAGGACTTGGGAAAAGCTAGTGAAAGTTTAGATCTTGGGCAAACATAGAGTTCTTTTTACTAGTATATAATCTGAATCTTTGCAACATACATAATGGGTGCTCAGTAAATATTTACAAACCCAATAAATGAAATTTCTTAGCATTTTATAGGTAGGCTCTTTGGCTGCTGGAAAGGCATCCACTGGCAGAGCTAGTTAATACTTGTGCCAGTTCTTGCATCCTATCCCAAAGCTACACTAGCATGAGAAGAAAAGGCCCACGCGTAGCTGGAGCCTGCTGAGCTCTACAAATTAAGTGTGGCATGTGGTGACCTGGATACCTGCTTTGCAGTGAGTCTGTGCCTTCCATGAGGCCAGAGTTTGCCATTGTTATTTATCTCTCCTAACCTCAGTTTTTGTCAGCAGAAAATGGCAAGAATGATACTGGATCTCAAGAACCAGGAGAAAACACACTTGAAAAAGCACTTTGAAAACTGTAAGGTGAGGGAATTGTGTGGTGTGAATTGGAGAAGCTAGAAATTTTACAATGAAATGAAAATAGCCAAGATGAAATCAGTCGGACAGAAAAATATTCCTGAGAGGACTTTAAAAATTTGACATAGGACAATGGCATATTAAGGCTGTAAAGAAGAAGTAAGTAGCTGTATCATTCTGGCTAGCTTCGGTAATCAGAAGTAAAATACAAAAGAAAGAAGTACATATAAATAGTAGAGTTTTGGGCTGGGGATACAGCGGCTACCTGACAAATACAGGTCTTAGTTGGTTCCCAGCACCAAAAATAAATAAATAAATAGTAGATCTTAAGAGTAGCCTTAAGGAAGACACTAGATCACCATAAAAACCAGATACCTTTGTCCTAAATCCAGTAGCTTGGATTCTCCATTGATTTTGTTAAAAGGAAAAACATCGGTTATCAGCTGGTCCAGGTCAAGGTTTTTGCCAGGAATTTGGCCACTAGTTTGAGTGCATCATTTCTGTTTTCCCAATCTATAAATGAGCATGCATTTCCCCTAAATTACCTTTGTGTTTCATTATTTTACATTGTGCCTTCTTTTCCCTGTACTCCCCCTCACATTTGATCATCTCCAACATCATAAAATGAACTATATTTCTCTCACTTTAGAAACAAAGGCCAGCAGCCCTTCTTGGATCCCTCCGTCTCCCTCAGCCTTCCCACGCGTCCTCTGCCTCACAGGTGAACCACAACAGCAGCTGTCTCCGACACACCTCTCCTGGCTCCGCCCCTTCCTTCCTTCTCTCCAGAGCCCACAGGATCAGGGTCTGGCTCTGGGGTGCTGATTCCACAGCTCTTGCCTTGATCACTTTGACCTCTTCCTGACACGGTGGTCCACGCTGAATCCCTGAGTGATAAAGTGGCTCCCAGAGGTGGACCTGACAGAGCTGGTGGCTTCCTGTTTGTCTCTCTGCTCATGTGGCTTCTGATTACCACATTGTGGCAGAGCAATGACATTTTCTGAGTCTTCCACATCTCCCAGGCCTGTAACTCTAACGGGTCCCAGGTCTCAGTCCTGAGACCTTTTCTTCTCTTGGTCTGCATTTACTCTCAGGATAATTCCCTCTGACCTTGTGTTTTTAAAACACATTGTGCTTGAAACCCTTTGCCTACACTTCCAGCCTAGATCTTGACCATGGCTACAGATTTGTGTGGTCCACCTTTGCCTGGTACCCCTCTTCACATGTCTGACAGGATCATGAACTTGATCCACCCCAAGGGACTCTACTCCCCTCCAACCTGTCCCTCCCATGCCACTCACCCTGGTAAGCAGCAAGTTTCCATCATTCCTGCTCCTCAGACTCTAAGCCTTGGATGCTGCTCTTCCTGTCACACAGTACACAAATGAAATGCAGTGAGTCAGCAAATCCTCGTGTTGCCCCTTCGAGTACACCTGAGATCTGACCATTTCCTGCCAGCACTGTCACTTGCAAGGCCATCAGCATCTCCTTCCTGCACTGTGATGACCTCTTAAGTGTCTCCTGCTTGTGTCCTTTGCATCTGGTGCAGTGTTTCCCACACAGCAGTCTGAAGGAGAACATGAACAGGGAGTCTGGGGCTCCTTAAAGCCTCAGTGCCGTCCCTCTGCTCCACTCTGCCCACCTCCTTCCAGCTGCGTGCATTGCCCACATGCCCTGTGTTGGCTTCGTTCTCTCCCTGGGATATGCTTTCTTGGGATTTGTGAATAGCTCAAAGCCTTTGTGTTCCTTACCTAGAACTTTCTCTGAACATCATAAAACATCACTGTTCACCACCCCATCCCATCCTCCACACTACCTATGGCCCTCGCTCTGTGCTTCGTGTTACTTTTCACCATCAGATACCCACTGTGTTTGCTTACTCATCACATCTCTGAACTGAAGTGAGAGGTTCTCCCACACCCTGAGTGCAGACCTCAGGCAAGCCCTGAGCCTGCTGTGTCCCAGCTCCTGGAGAGATCCCCAGCACTCAGCACACACTCAGTGTTTTCTGAAGAACTGAATTTTACGTCTAGTACCCAGAAAGGTCCATAATACCCCTCATGACCCAGATGGTTGGCATGAAGAGGCCCAGTGTATTATCACTGTCTTGTTTCTCAATCCAGCTCTTTCATACCAACCAGCCTCACACTGCAGTGCCCCAAAGAATACTGCAGGAAAAACCAGAAAAACAAGTTGTGGCCTCCCAGCAACCAGTTTCAAGCAACAACTGTCAAGTTGGGAACCAAATGGGGCAAAGGATTTAGTGGTTCCAAATAAAAGTGGTTCCTATTTTTATAATCAATGGATAATTATCTCAGTTATGAAAAAACAAAATAAATTAACATGTTTGTATAAAATTTTTGGTAGCCTACAAATGCTAATTCCACTTATTATTTGCTTTACATTTGTTATCACATTTATTTTTGTTGTTTCTTTAATATTTCTTTAATATTTGTTTTTACATTCTGCACTAAATTGCATGCTTGTCTAAACAAAGAACAATTCTCCTTCCTATACTTTTAGCAAGTACCTGAGGGCTGTTACTCTCTTACACTGCAGAGCAGACTCTAATGTTGGAAGAGCTCCGGAAGCACCAGTAAAAGTGCATGAAGACACTGGACAGTGGGAGGAGAGGAGGAGCTGCTGTCACTCATGTGGCCTGGTGGCTCTCACCCCACCCATCCTTACTCCTTTCTGTCATTCTGCTGTGGGCCTGAACTGTCCCTACAGCATGTGACAATCTCTCTTTGACTGTATATTTTGGCTTTGGGTCCAGATTTTTTGCTAATGGAAATTTAATGAATTTTATTTTTCATACACATTCTTGTATATGTGGAGAATAATGTCACAAGGATCATCCCAGCAGAGGCACTGTTGGTGCCTCTTAGCCTTTGGGAAACTTGATTGCAGGTGCTAATACTAAAAATATGCCCACCCATAATTCCTTAAATCAAAGTAAGGTGCAGATAATTATCTTTTGAATTATTGTGGTTATGATTCTCCTCATTTTATAGAAGGAAAATTTTTTCTGTGATAGAGTTTGAAACTTTACACTGAAACTACATATGCACCTTTTTTGTTTGTTTTCGTTTTTGTTTTGGGAGAGTTTTTTTGAACAGGATCTCACTAAGTCACTAAGCCTGGGCTCCCATCATACTGGGATTATAGATACGAGCCACCATGCCAGCTGAAGGAAGGTTTCTGAAGCAGGTGTGAGGGTACAGTAGGCTGCTTGCATTTACCAAACCAGAGTGGGAAACCCAGTACCCGCTTCCCCAGGCTCTGCCATCCTCACCTCCAAAGACATCCCCCTTCCATGGGCATCCAGGGAACAGGAGCACTGGGTCACAGCTGAGCACACTGGCTTATAGAGCAGCAGCCATTACCACACTGGTCCCTTAGGTTCATGTGGCAGGATGCGAGGGCATCCCGAGTTTAAAATAAAGAATAAAATTAGCCACTCATGCCTCTTCTAAGATCTTACAGGCCCAGAGCTTGCCTAGGAACTATCATAGTTCCAGTAATTAGCTGCTCAGCTTCCAAGTCTAAAACTAACTTAGGCCCATCTTTTAGGCTTCCTACTTGCTTTTAAAACTTTTCTCAGTGCACCTTCAGCCATTCATTACACTCCTGCACAGATTTGTCCTTTACAGCACAGGGCAGTCATTAACATGGCCAGCGGACGTGATGTTTCCAGTGTGCCAGGGATTAAAATACAGGAGAAATCTTCATGAGTTTTGCATGATATCAAGACTTCAGAGAAGTCTTAAGTCATCTGTGGGAAATAATATGAATTTTAGCAGCATAGGTTTAAAATGTTAGTTTGAAAATTAAAATATTTTTTAAAATGTGAAACAAAGGAGTCTCTCAGTGGTATCTCTGAGGCATCTTCATTTTCTGATCATATGCCCATTCTTTAAGCCATGTTTAAATACTTGCTAGAGCATAATACAGATGTTGGTATATACTTCTGAGACCAACGTTCTTCACAGTATCATAAAAATCAATAATCCCTACAAACATACCCAATATTGAATATTGTTTGATATCAAAGGCCCATTTTCTGAAGGAATTTAGATAGAGGAAAACAGAGCTTAGGTGAAAATATTGAGAAGATAGGTCAATCACAGATTTGGGGGAAGTGAGACAACATTTAGAATAGCATCTTTCCACGCTGCTTCTGCACCTCTCTTAAGAGACTTCACTTGTGATGCTTGGATTGCTAAACAAAATTCAAGGGATGGAATCACTTTTTCCAGGAACTCCATATATACAAGGAAGATGACAAACACTTAAGAACCCTGCATCTAGATGTATTTACTACCATGCCCTCTGCTCACAGGACAGTGACTTTGATCAAGCAGAACTGCTCTTAAGGTTTGTACCTTTTAGGCAGAATTGCTATATGGTTACCAGCTTTTGCCTGACAAATACTTAATTTTCATACTTAACTGTTAGTAAAGCTATGTTAGTAAAGTTAACCTTGCTCATATCTCATAGCATGGGTAAGTTTTGTGGCTCCCTGAATCTTGGCTTGCACCATGGTATCAAGATACTCAATAACTATAAAAGTGTAGTCCACACTGTTGTCATCATTTCCAACAGCACCTTGCTGATGGGCTTGGTGGAGTCCTTGGGGATGATGCACTCCATGGCTCTCATGGCCAGGGCCTTCTGAAACTTGGCTTTTGTTGAGGTTAATCTGAATGATTCTGGAGGTTCCACTGACCTGCAGCCCATGATGACTAATAGACCGACTCCTCCCAGGCCAAAGACAGTGCAAGTAGAACTTGGGGTGATCTGCAGAATGAGGCTCTGGTAAACATCAGCAGTGGGGTTGAAAAGCAAAGCCTATAAATTACCACTAGGGTCAGGATCCCAAATTCACAGGGTCATTATGACAGTGGCTAAAAAAGCACCTCAGGGTCTGAACTTACTGGAAAAAGGTCTTTGCAGAGGCAATGGAGCTCAAATGTAGTCATTAGGTGAGCCTTTCCTACAAAGTAGATATGGCTTGAACTTCTCCATTGGTTCTGTTGCTGAGGCTTGGTCCCCAGTGCAGCAGAGAAAGAGGTGGTGGAACCATTAGGGGTAGGGCCTAGATAGTAGGAGGTGACAGGTCATTGAGGTTCTGCTCCAGGAGGCCTTATGTGGCCTTTGGGACCTCAGTCAGCTCCCTTAAGAGAGGATTGGAACAAGGTGAGGTTGCCCCTGTACCCAGCCTTTCTTGCACACAGCTGCCTCTTCTCATCTATCTGTCATTTGGTGATGTGGCTATGGGCTATGGGGCTGCCTGACCTTGAGTTGTCAGCCTCTAAAACTGTGAACTAAGTAAATCTCTTTTCTTTTATAAGTACCCAACAACAAGCATTTTGTTGTAGCAACAGAAAACTGACTGATCCAGCCCTAAAACAATATGGACTGCTGTCTATATAAAAAGGGAAATGTGGCTATGAAGACACACTTTGGAGAAGGTGATGGCCATCTACCTACCAAAGAGAGAGGCCCGGGCCTCTCAGGAGGAGCTAACCCTGTTAATAGTGATTCTGGATTCAGTTCCAGCAAACTCCTAAATAAGCATTTATATGTGTTTTGTGAAAGAAGAAACATAGGCTTTAGGTGAAAATCTAAATTTCAGCAGGAGGAGATGTAGAAGAAACAAAAGTTTAATCTAGATTATTGAGTTTTGTTTTTCTCCTAGTTGGTTTGGTATTATACAGAAAGAACTTGAAAACATACTAAGCATATTTTCAAAACTGGTTTTCCTCTTTTAAAATATCTTCAGTATTCCAAGAAATTCATTTTAAAAATAAATTAAGGGAAGGAAAGAAGGGAGGGAGAGAGAGAGACAAGGAGGAAGGGAAGGTGCCTACCCTGTTTCTTACCTTACCTATTTTAACAGCAGCACCATACCCAGTGGAAAATCCACAACCAATCAAACAGACCATCTCAAGAGGAGCTGTGCCATCCACCTCAGCAATGGAAGACTCTTCCACACCACAAACTAAGTAAACGTGCTAGTGTTCATGAAGTGATAGACTGGTCTTCCCTTGCATGTAGATCAGGTAGTGCCATCAGACAGTAATCTTTCAAATACCCGTAGTGGTTAATTCAACTAAACATGAACACAAGAACAATTGAAGTGACATTAGAGTACAAATGACTGAAACCTACTTATCTTAATGAAAAAATTGCCCTCTGGATTGCAGCAAGCATTGCATTCTCTACACTGTGGCAGAAACAGATGGATGACTTTGTCACCTAAAGGAAAAACATCATGATATATAATGCTGTTCAATTAAGAAACACACAAGTATGAATCGAGTCCCTTCTACACACAAGCATTTCATAAAGAGTATTCTTTGGTCTGTAAGCATCATAAGGTTCACTTGCTAAAGTTGAGATTTTCCCAATTAAGCATTACTGAGTAACTGCCACTCAATTATTAAACCCTTTTACCTCCCTAAACTGGTTGAAGGCTCTCTCTAGTAATTCCTAGCATGTGCATTCCTGTGGTAGGATAATCAAAGCCCACACATTTCAGACTTTTGGCTTGACATCTGCATACCTGGCTTCACCCTAGTGACTCTTTCTCCAATCCTCTCTACAACTCTAGCTGCTTCATGTCCCAGAATGACTGGAAACCTAGATACCACTGTTCCTTTTATTACATGGTCATCTGTGCAACAGATTCCTGTGGCCAAAATCCATATTCAAAAGAGAAACTTCACCAACTAGAAAATCCTTCAGTTTAGGGTTATCCATATGTAGCTTGCTATTGAAGAGATTACAGTTGTTTATTCCATAGCATCAGTGTGATAATGTTGACTCCTGGAGCTATCAAACTAAAATCAACCAGCAGATAAGATCCACATCTTCAAGATGTTTATGACACTCCAGCCTCTGACCCTCCTCCACGCCCTTCTGTGTCAGCTGCCACACCTGAGAGGGCGCTGGAATGAGGATGCCATGAGGAGGCTGATGGGAAAGTATGCTCTGCAGCTTTGCCTCCGGCTGCTCTCTTAATGGAGGTACCGAAGTGGCACGCAGGAAAGTACACGAGGGCAGAGGCAGAGTCTATGGCGCCACGTGTTCTGGCAACAGCAGGGAGTCAAAGACTGACAGCAATGCCTGTCCAGCAAGTGGCGTCCAGACTCAAAGTCAGGCTCCATGCAAAGCTTCTTCTTCTTGAGCAGAAAGAAATTTCTTGCTCTTTGTAAAAATTAATCTTGATACAATCTGATTTTTACATTATTTTAAAAGAAATCACTAGTCGTGACTAGTAATCATTTTTTATCAAACATTTCATTAAAAATGCGACAAATGAATGCTTTAATAGAGCAGAAAAATGTGGGTTTTTTAAAAAACTAGGTAATAAATTCATTAATTTCACAGGCAGAATGACCATTTCCTCAATGTTACACAAGAAGTAATCTGAGAGCTAATGGCCAGAGTTTGGCAAACATGTCCTTATTTAAGAATCCAATTTTACAATGTTTTTTTTCATAGAAATGTGATTGCAAAACAGGATTATATACTTCAAGATTCTTTCTCACCCTAATATGAACTTCTTTAGCCTGTGGTGGGCCAATTTCTATTTCTCAATGGAAAAGAGCTTATTCATTTCCCACAGCACAGCTGCTTTGCACTTAATAACCTAAGAAACTGGCAGTTGTTATACTGGGTCCTAATTATGCTTTCATACATAGACTTCTTGAATAATATAAATAGGAACTAAATATCACACATAACCTAATGTTCCTAGAACAATTTTCAGCAAATTCTAGAATATTAAGCTTTACAAATCATCTTGTGTGCATCTTTGTTGGATACAGGAGCTATGCAGCTAGAGATATGAAATGATTGATCCATGGTCACACTGTACACAGCTCAGGGCTGGGACAATGACTACATTCCTTGTGACATGATTCATGCCTTTGTATCTCTACATCTTGTTTGGCACCTAGTCCAGCTTTTGCAGCTGGTGGGCCTGGTTGTCCTGATGCAAAATGAGGACTTCCTACTTCTCAAGTAATTAACACACCAAGCGTGTTCCTTTAATACTCCTTTAGGCGGTTAAATAACTTTTGCAAAGATATTAAATGCATGAAATGACAATTCTAGAAAAGGAGCCCATGTTAACTTTAGAATACTTATACTACATTCTCAAACTGACTTCAGGTAGATTCATAGTTAATATTTATTCTTAAAATCACCATTTTTAATATTTTTTTAAATTAAAGACCAATTTGCAGCGTTTAATTGAAGAATTCAGACTTTATGTTTACAGTTATTTTTGAAATAACTTGTTTCTGTCTTATTTTGTTTAGTTTTGCTTTTATTCTTATTGTTTGGAATTATTTATGTTCATTTCTTTCTCATCTGAGAGGTCTGATGATTTATTGGGTTAATGCTATTTGACTTTTTTGCTAATTCTCATTTGCTTTTTCGCTTTTCCAGTGACAGCTGTTCTTTCCTATGCTCTTGTGATTGCATTTATCTTGTTTCCCCTTCTGAGTGCCAGATTCCCTCAGGTTTCTTTAGTGATGCTGGATTAGGACTCCTGAATTCCTTTAGCTTATGCTTACCTTGAAGCCTGTTTTCTTTCAATTTCAAAGGAAAACTATGCTTAGGGTTGGCAGTCATTTTCTTTCAGAGCTTGAAATAGACCCAGGTACTTACAGTAAAATGATTCTTGACAAAAGTGTCAAAAAACACACATTGAAGACAGAATGGCCCTTAAATGGTGCTGGAAAGCTTGACAGGCAGAAGACTAAAATGAGAGTATTATCTCTTATGCTATACAAAAACCATCTCAAAATGAATCAAATGCCGAAGCCTGGGATTTAGCTCAGCGGCATAAGCCACCTGCCTGGCAAGTGCGAGGTCGTGAGTTCGATCCCCGGTACCAAAAAAAAAAAGAATCAAATGCCCTAAAACTGAAATTTGGAAACTATTAAAGAAAACACTTTGAGATACAGGCAAAGACAACTAGCTTTTGAATAGGTCTCCAAAAGCTTAGGAAATAAGAGGAAGAACTGACAAATGAGATTGTATCAAATTGAAAAACTTCTAACAGTAGGAAACAACAAAAAAAGAGTGAAGAGACTGCCTACAGAATCAGAATGATTTTGACACGTGTTTGTCTGATAGAGAATTAATTTCCAAAACACACAAAGAACTCAAAAAAGTTAACAAAGGAACAGGCAATCTAATCAATAAATGGGAGAATGACCTATACAGACAGTCCCCAAAAGAAGTACAAATGGTCAATAAATATACAAAAAGTGCACAAAATATTTAACCATCAGGAAAATGCAAATAAAAATACATTAGGATTCCTTCTCACTTCAGTCAGAATGGCTATTACCAAGAAAACAGATAAGAATGCTGGCAAGAATATGAAGAAAAGAACCCTTGCACAGCGTTATTGAGAACACAAACGAGTACAGCCACAATGGAAACCAGTGTGGAGAGTCCTCTAACACCAGAGCCATCATCTGATCCAGCTATACCACTCCTGAGTAGGTAAATGAGTCAGAACACAGAAAAAACTGATTACCTGTGTTTACTGCATCACTATCAATAACTGTCAAGTTATGGAATCCACCTAGGTACTAATTAGCAGGTGAATAAAGAGTATGTGGCACATATACACTGTGGAATATTACTCATCCACAAGGAATAAAATCAGGTCACTTTCAGAAAAATGGATATAATTAATCATATAAAGTTGTTGGAAGAGCTCAGGAGGACCTCTGTGTCACTGAGGATCACTGTGGTACTTTTCAGGACAGCCTTGGTCTTTATCATGAGCGTGACTTCTCGGCTCCAGCGTAAAGCCCTCAACCTACCAGCACAGATCCTTTACCCCTCTGGCATAGACTTTCTAGCTTTCACTGCTGACCTTTAGATCTTCCCAGAGAAGATCTATAAAAGAGACTGGTGTCCTCCTTGTGAGCTCTAGACCTCCAGTTGGACATGTGGGAGGCACTGTCATGAATCTGGGTCTTCATCTGGACTCATGCAAGACATTGCTGTGGAATTCAGGCCCTTGGCTGAATATTCTACGTCTTTAGTGTTGTGGACAGATTTCTTACACTTTCTTGTGTTAGCTTTGGGTGACCATCATAAAATAATATTATAAATTCTGTGTCTTAATTCTAATTGTTCTCACAACCCATGGCTACAACAGCCCTCTGTAAACCGTACTAGCACATGACTATCTCTAGATCAAAACTGCACAGCTGCTACGCACTGCCCATTAATCAAACTAGAAGGAGTCTTTTGGAGGCCTCTGGGTTCTCCATCATTGGAGGGATACTGGCTGGATGTCCATCTCACTGAGACAGCAGAGCTCATTCTTGAGCCTCTGTTGGCTTCATGAAGTGAAACATTTTAAGATTCTTTCCAACTCTGAGATTTATTAATCTTAAAAGGTAGAGCCAATCAATGCAGAGCCAATAACTTCTATAGTAAAAAATTAATTCTCCAAGCTATCTAGTTTTTCTGAATTTGTGACCCAAACCAGGATGTTTTTAGTGCAGTTCTACTCAATTCTTGGAAAAATTATTTCAAATTCTAGTATCATAGGGCTTCCACCAGCTGCATTACTCAGACTTCAACTGTCATCGTTATTTTTCCATAAAGGTAAGTTATTTAAATGAGAATGAAATAAATGAAAACATCTCACAGTTTATGCAAGTATGTACCAATTTAAAGCAAGGAACTACTCTGATGTACTTGCAAATGAAAAAAATCAGTTATTTCTAATGTTGAGTCTGCTATTTTCTTACAAAATAAACATAATTTACCTCCACTGTAGTCTTATTTTCAAATTTATATTTTGATTTAAAAATTATATCCTTAAGAAACCTTAAAACATGATACTTTGATGTCCATTTTACATTCTGAAATTAGCATTTTCCACTGTGGAGAGTGGCACAAATGTTTTCTGACAACCACATGAGACCTGCTCTGCACTGCACGCTGAAGGATACATGCAGTGCCACTCAGCCTATTAAAAGGCCCTTTAGGAGCCACTGGCTTACCACAGCAAAAGCCCACGTTACAAATTATCAATGAAAATAAGTCCAAGGGAATGAAAAATAAATTGAAATAGAACATCAAAATTGAGAGACAGAAGTATATGGGATGTAAATATTAGTGACTATGGTTTCTAGAAATTTGGGAGTCAGAAAATTAAGTAAAACTTGTCCCTGTCCCCAGCCACACCATCCACAGTACTGTGTCCAGTGGTTGTGAATCTGTGCACACATGGATACCCAGACAAGGGTGAAAGGGAATTAGGATCCACCTACTTACAAGTGCTTGAATTCTGAAGAGCTTCATCTACTTGGGCAAGAACTTAGCTCTTCTAAAGTAGCTGCTTAATTATTGTAAGTTACTATTTCCTAATATAAGATGCAATGGCATCAGAATTTTCTTGACCTACAAGCCACATTAACAGGACATTACCCAAGATAGATCTTATTTTTGACAGTGAATAGTGATTGCACTGACACCCCAACCTCCCTATAGAGAGGAGAATTTACTCCTGGAGTAATTCAAGGAGGCAAGTTTCCTAAGTCTCTGGACCATGGAATCCAGACATAAAGTATTACCAAACAAGAGAAGAAATTTGTAAGAGTTTATTGTTCAAATAATATAAAGAAAACAAAACTTTGCATTGAAAAACAGATGCAAACTTTGCCAGAAATCTCATTGTGATACAGATCTAAATTAAAATATATTTATGCCAAACTCAGAATTCAAAACTAGAATAATTTTAATTCATTAGCAAACTTAAATTCCCCAGTGAAAAGCATTGCCAGTCTGTCAGGCTAATGCTTGAGCACCACTGTTTTAGCAGAGCATTCTGAGGGCTGCAAGCACGTCTTACAGGTATGGAGAGATAAGCAAGTACAGACAAGGACAGGCGCTCTGGCCTCAACCTTAAAGCCAGGGAAATCAAACTCTGTCTCAACAACAAAAACTTGCTCACTTATGAACAAAGGTGAAAGAGTACCAACCTAGGTGGCGTCAGCACAAATGCAAAATTACTCAATTGATAAACTCCTTCGTAGGGGCTTGCCAAACTTTTGTATTATCAATAATCTAAAATATAGTTTCCCAAATTTAACATATCAAGTGAGGTTTAAATCTGAAGAAGTCTTAATGGGGCTAATTCATCCCTATGAGACCTGACTAGATGATAAAATGACAAAAGTTGAAATGTGGAATGTTAACAATTAAAAAAAAAAAGGTCATAGTCATATTGACTGTATAGCATGTATGTCTAGTATGTCTAATTTTAGGCTTGGGAAACTCACCACATGAATTTATCTTGTAAACTGTATTACAGTACTTGTATGAAATTCTGGTGCCAAGACTTGGGTGTTGAATGTCCAATCACTGTTTCAACCTGTGTCTATTTCCAGAATTCACAGAGGCCTTCATGAGGACTGATCTCAGCATACTCACAACTCTAGTTTGTCAGAGTCTGAATTCAGAGGAATGCAGAAGAACTTTGAGAAGTATGCTCTAGAAACATAGGTTGGGGAGTTCATAAGCGTGTTCAGGGCCTGGACTTCTGCTTAGATATGTGCACCTTCAGCCTGTATGGGAACAGCACTGGCCACAGGGCTTGAGATCCTAAGGACTCATGGTAAGGATCATAAACCACCTTGGATAGTTCATAATCAGTAGCAAATGCCATTGTCATAAACTGATTTCCATTGGTTGGTTGAATTTTTTATTATGGCTTTGTTGTTTGGACTTTTCAAAATATTTAAAATGTAACCACTTTGGGCAAAATGTCCTAGAGTCCAGGCAGAGATAAAGTGTGGTTCCTAGAAGCCTCTAGAATTTGGGGGGACTAAATGTTTGGGGACTAAAAATCTTCTAAACCTGGAGGTGCTATGAAAAATTCAGGTGGCCACAGGCCAAATGTAATCTCCACAGGTTGACCTACGTTGTTGCCCAGCCTTAAGGGAGGTAGACAATCTAGAGTTTCCACCACAAGGATCCCAGGCAGTGGACCAGTCAGCCACCTATCCCCTGGGCATCACTCTCATCTTTGGGATGGAAGGTCTACAGAGCGACCTTCCTGCTGTTGCTCAGGTCTTTTCTCAGAGCCCTGCTCCTCTGCAGGGACAGCCTCCATCACACCCCATTGGGACTCTGAGCAGCCCTAGCTCATGAGGACTACATGCCACGGGAGTCAGAGGAACTGAGCGTCTGCTCAGCCCCAGCTTAGAAAAAGACAAGGTGTGTGAGCTCACAGAAGAGGACACTATGCTCTGGCAGGTTGTTGTGAAACTAGGCGAGCCTGGAAGTGCTAATTAAAAGGCCCAGGGCCTAGGACATGGAAATTACAAGAGGTCACAGACCTAAGGGTAAGAGAGTAAGGAAAAGGGCCCAGTGCTCACATGCAAATGGAACCCATTTGCTGCTGAATGATTCTTCATGGCAGAAATAGCTGTGAGGACGTGAGCACCAAGTGGTGTGCAGCTGCTCCTCATCCAAAAGCACATGAACGCTGCTGAACTCGGCCTTGCCTTATCAAACAATGCACTTTGCAGGTGGGGTTATATTCTAGCCTTTGTTCCCATCATTTTCTCTCTCCAGCCCTGCAATCTCAGGTAATAAACCACAGAGCCAGATGCAAGCCAGAATTCGCCCTTTCATCCTTTGGCTGTGAAAGCCCAGCAGGGATGGATGTACTGAAATTGCCAAATCAAGCCTGCAGCTCTGCCCAAGATGGGAACTTCAGCTAATCCTCTCTGAGGCTACCGAGCCAACTCTAGTATTAGTGCATGAGATTGTGCTTAATCGTTTCAAAATTGTCACGGAAATGCTTCTCAATAAAAGCATCCAAAGCACATTTTTCGTAACAAGGCAAGGGCTTCGCAGCTGCCCACAAAAGTTCTCTGTTCCACCCAGCTCACCACCTGAATGTGCCGGCTGATGTGAACTGCAATTGAATGTGGTTGAGAATTACAGGGGGAAAAAAAAAATTGAGCTCCACACATCCATTCTCTCCCTTATAAAAAAAAAGCATAGAAAAGTATTTTTGTGCTTCAGGCTGAGGACATATTTTACATGGCTCCAAGGTGCTGAGTCTAACAGCTTTTCTAAGACTGAGCCTGAGGCTGCACCAAACATTGCAACATTCCTGGCATCTGCAAGGCAGGTGTGCATCGTGCCCCTAACGTCCACTGTGCTCATGTTTTATCTGTTCCTGGCATTCCCTTCATGGCTTGTCTCCATCAATATTGAGCAAAATCCCAGGAGGTTAGCACACAAAGTGCAGGGACTTTGTCTCCTTGCAGCAAGGTGGGGCAGGTGTGGCAGAAGCTCACCCACCCTCTACCCCTCCTGCTCCAGCAGATTTCCCTGAGCAGTTTCACACTGACAAGCCCCTGTTTTACAGGAAGTCCCTCTGGGTTTCTGTAGGAGTGGAGAAGCATAGCCTGTGTTTTTTGAAGCTAGGATGTAGAAACATGGGAAAGCCCTAAGACTAACATGGTGTCAGTGTCAAAGAAATGTTCAGTCTTAAAGGGTTAACTCACGAGTTTTTGAGCTGCTTGTCATTAAAAATGCAAAACCAACTGCAAATACAATGTATCTGGAGAGGTTAGACCAACAGTGTTACCAAGGCAGGCAGCCTAAGCACTGACCCCTGGAAATGCAAGAGGTAGCAAAGGCCTGGGCTCCAGCTGCAGACGCCAGAGTGCCTTCCTTGTTCACCCTCACACACAGCCATTGCTGGCTGTTTAGAGATGCCAGGAAAGCCAAACCTGCAGCCTGCCCTTCTGCTGACCTGGATTTGCAGGTCTTTGGAGATAATCACTTCTGTGCACCTTGAAAGGCAAAGTGGGTGAGGAAACAAGGAAGCACAAACCATAATTTGAGATAATTCTGCAAGAAGCATCAACCTCAAGGTTCTCATTAGCTTTCTGACTGCCACGCTCACCTGCTGAGCCTGCCAAGCTCCCTGGCTGTCTCTGCTGTGCTGCTGTGCCCAGCTGCTGATCCTGTCTGCTGTGTAGATGGTTGCAGGGGAGATTCAGGATGCACGCAATCTCCTCTTTTCAGTGTAGCATCACTGAACTTAATAGGAAGTGAAATCAGTAAAAGAATGTGATTGAATCCTTCTGCTGATTTTGATTTGATTCTGAAATGCAGTTCAATCATGATCATGAAACTTGGTCAAGGGGGCACCAATTTATCTAAATTAAATCATTTATTAACTCATAAAGTTGGCACCCTGACTTTGGACAGATTCTCCATAAGGAACACAATGGATGGCGTAATACTAAAAAATCTTACCAATCTGAAAGGCAGTGGCACCAGTTATGGAGAGTGGACCCTCAGCCTACAAGGAGAGATGCCAGCTATTTGCCACTTCTGAACGGGATGGGCACACATTACCCTGAAGATGAGCAGTTAACGCCACCTCCAGACACAAAGGCATCATGGGTTACAGTGGGTCATTTCATTTGAAAACTCAAAACAATTCTTATAAGAGAGGAGGCCTTGGATGTTCTGGATAACCTGCTCCAGGACCGACTAGAAGCAGAATGTAGAGTCCAGTTTTACACACCAGTTCACATGAACAACTCTGTAAAATGCTTTCCCTCCTGGCAAAGTCACATGGGAAAAAATTTATATCAGATGGCTGGAACATTCTGGCATGAGAGCAAGAGAAGTCATTGTTTCCAAAAGGAATTCATTAAGAATTTTCCGTGTGAATGCCAAGATGATCTCCAAAAAACAAGAGTTAGACATTTATTTTGGATGAATAGGGCTAGAATACCCAAACACTTTATACCTTCAGGATATGTTTTTAAACATTTGCTACTTTATGAGAAAATATAACAGAATTTCAAAAATCAAATAAGAGAACACTAGTTATTGTTTATCATTATCCTCAGAATAATTACTCAGAATATAAGACATAATCCAAAGATTCTTACCAAAAAGAAATGATAAGAAAATAAAACAAACCTTTCTTTTCAACAGAGCTCAAGGACACATCCAGCGCACACCCACACTACACTAGCCTTGGGAGGTCTTGTGGACCAACTACATTATGCCCAGCAACCTACTTCAAACAGGGGAGTTGAAAGCAGTTGAAGTGAGTTCCAGGACATTGATCTTTGCCTGAGGAGCACTTCAGTCCATCATCCACATTGGTTAGGTGCCTGCCCAGCTACCTGGAACACTGAAGGTGGCATGGGACGGCCTGAGGGCCTGCTTGGACCATGCTCAGCAACCTCCATTCTCTCCCAGGAGCCCAAGGCATAGGAGACAATTTCCAACACATCCAGGGGAAGCCTTGCAACAACACTTGAAACACAGAAATATAGGAAAATGAAAAAACAAAAGACCAAAACACAATCTTAAACCTCCATTCCAAGAAAGCCTAGAACCCACATACATAGAAGAAAATATATGCCATACACTAGAAATACCTGTAATACTAGCAACTGAAATAAAGAAGCAACTCGAGGAAGCTTTAAAGAAACTCAAACTGGAAATAATCTCCCAGGTAAAAGAAGAAATGATAAAAGTAATGAAAGAGATGATGAACACATCTAAAGAAGACAGTTAAAAAATTAAAGGAACAAAACAAATAGATAGAATCCCTGGATGAACAATTTAAGAAACAAATACATAACAGAATACATGAATCAGATTTAAAGAGATATACAGGAAATCAAAAATTCCATCAAAAGTCATCAAAACCGACTCAATGAAAGTGAAGATAGAATCTCAGAACTCAAAGACAAGATTGCAGCTAGTGAACAGGAAAGGAAAGATCTTTTAAAAATAACAAGGAATCAGGAAATAACAATTCAACAACTGCAAGATGACGCAAAGAAAAACAACATAAGATTGATTGGGATTAATGAAAAAGAAGGGGACAACATAAAGGACGTCAAGAGGATATTTAGAGAAGTAATAGCTGAAAATTTCCTAAGCATGAGATCAGAAACCAACATCAGGTTCAGTAAGCCTATAGAACTCCAAATAGTCATAACCAAAATAAAACTACACCCAGACATAAAATAATCACCATCCCAGAAGTCCAACACAAGAATAGATTATTAAAAGCTATCAGAGAGAAAAGACAGATCACTTATAAAGGAAAACCTATCAGAATCACAGCAGAGTTCTCAGCAAAAACAATAAAGTCAAGAGGAGCATCAAGTGAAGTATTCCAGATCCTAAAGCAAAATGATTTCCAAACTAGACTGATGTACCCTGCAAAATTATCATTCAAAACTGATGGTGAAATAAGATACTTCCATGACAAAGAACAGCTGAAGAACTTCATGAACACCAAGTCAACCCTGCAAAAAATATTGAGAGACAGTTTAGATACACAAAGGAAAAAACCACTAAGCAAAGCAAATAATTAAACAGAACTGAAAGATAAAGATGCAACTGCAGAAAAATAACATGTCAACAATAAAACAGCATATAACAGTTAAAACCGTTAACATAAATGGTCTCAATGCACCAATCAAAAGAAACAGACTGGCAGAATGTATCAAGAAACAAAATCCAACCATATGCTGTTTACAGGAAACCCATCTAACCCAGAAGGATACTCACAGACTGAAAGTCAAAGGATGGAAAACAATACTTCATGCAACAGGAATCCCAAAAAAAAGCAGGAGTAGCCATTCTGTTTGCAGATAACATGAACTTTAAACCAACAATGATCGGAAAGGACAAAGAAAGTCACTACATACTTGTTAGGGGAAAACTCCAAGAGGAAGAAATAACTATCTTAAATATATATGCACCAAATTCCAGAGCACCCAGTTATATAAAACAACTATTAACAGAAATGAAAAAACAAATTATCAGTAACACAATTGTAACAGGAGACCTTAACACACCATTGACACCAAGGGACAGATGAACCAGACAGAAAATGAGCAAAGAAATAACAGAACTGAATCACACCTGTGAACAAATGGACGTGATTCTGTATATGTCTACAGAATGTTCCACCCAACATCAGAATACACATTCTTCTTAGCTGTACATGGGTCATTCTATAAAATAGACCATATATTAGCTCACAGAACATATTTAAAGAAATGCAAAACAGTTAAAATCATCCCTTGCATGTTATTGGATCATAGCGCTATAAAATTAGAATTAATGATAAAAGATACTGCAAAAATCCCACAAAAACATGAAAACTGAATAACACACCCTTGAGTAATCAGTGGGTCACAGAGGAAATTAAAGAAGGAATTAAACAATACCTACAAGAAAATGAAAATACAGATACAACTTACTGGAATCTGTGGGATGCAATGAAAGCCATCCTCAGAGGAAAATGTATTGCACTGAGTTCCCACATCAGGAAAACAGAACGAATACAAATAAATAACCTGATGCTACACCTCAAACATCTAGAAAAAGAATAAGTCAAGCCCAAAGCCAAAAGAAGAGAGGAAATTATAAAAAGCAGAGCAGAAATCAACGCAATAGAAACTAAGAAAACAATCGAAAGAATCAACGAATCAAAAAGTTGGTTCTTTGAAAAAATCAATAAAATCGATAAGCTCCTAGCCAACCTTATTTATAAAAGGGAAGAAAAAGCTCAAATTCATGCAATAAGAAATGAAAAAGGTGAAATCACTACAGACTCTTTGGAAATACAGAAGATCATCAACACCTATTTCGAAAACCTCTACTCTCAGAGGTTTGATAACACAGAAGAAATAGATTCTTAGAAACATATGAAGTACCAAAGCTAAGTCAAGAGGACGTAGCACTGCTAAATAACCCAATCTCTATCAATGAAACTGAAAATGTCTTACCTACAAAGAAGAGCCCAGGCCCAGATGGATTCACTGCAGAATTCTACAAGAAATATAAAGAAGTCCTAATGCCGACACTCCTCAAACTATTCAATGAAATTGAAAGGGAAGTAATCCTTCCTAAGTCATTCCTGAAAGCAAATATTACTCTAGTACCAAAATTGAGAAGGACTCAACTAAAAAAGAGAACTATAGACCAATCTCTCTACTGAACACAGATGCAAAAATCTTCAATAAAATATTGGCAACTAGGATGCAGCAAACCACCAAGAAAATTATATATACATCATGACCAAGTGGGATTCATCCCAGGCATGCAGGGATGGTTCAACATATGTAAATCAATAAATAATCCACCATATCAACAAAGCCAAAAGTAAGAATCACATCATCATTTCTATAGATGCAGAAAAAGCCTTCAATAAGGTCCAGCATTCATTCATGATAAGAACTTTATAGAAAATTGAAATAGATGGTCTTTACCTCAATATAATAAAGGCCATCTATGACAAACCAACAGCCAGTATCATACTAAATGGCCAAAAATTGAAGGCCTTTACTTTAAAATCAGGCACAAGACAAGGATGTCCTTTATCACCACTCCTATTTAATATAGTACTAGAAGTACTAGCCAGAGCAATTAGACAAGAGAGAGAAATAAAAGAGATAAAGATAGGAAAACAAGAAGTTAAATTATCACTGTTTGCAGATGACATGATACTCTACATAGAAGACCCCCAAAACTCCATTGAAAAACTCTTAAAATATAATAAATAAATTCAGCAATGTAGCTGGATACAAAATCAATACTCAGAAATCAATAGCATTCCTATACACTAACAACAAAATCACAGAGAGAGAAATAAGAGAAGCCACACTCTTCACACTAGCAACCAAAACAATGAAATATTTAGTAATTACTCTTATGAAAGAAGTAAAAGACTTATATAGGGAAAATTATCATACACTGAAATAAGAAATTGAAGATGATCTCAGAAAATGGAAAGACATCCCTTGCTCATGGATAGGAAGAACAAACATTGTGAAAATGGCCATTCTCCCAAAACTGTTATACAAATTCAATGCAATCCCAATAAAAATACCATCAACATACATCATAGATCTAGAGAAATCACTCCTAAAATTCATCTGGAACCAGAAGAGACATAGAATATCAAAGGCAATCTAAGCAGCAAAGGCAAGGCAGAAGGCATCACAATCCCTGACTTGAAGTTATACTACAAAGCAGTTGTAGTAAAATCAACACGGTACTGGGTTAAAAACAGATCTGAAGATCAATGGAATAGATTAGATGATACAACCACAACTACAAACACACTCAATCACCTTTTCTTTGGTAAAGGGGCCAAACATGTTCACTGGAAGAACAACAGGCTCTTTAATAAATAGTGCTGGAAAAACTGGCTCTCCACATGCCAAAAACTAAAACTAGACCCATGCCTATCACCATATACTAAACTAAAATCTAAATGTATCAAAGATATGAATATTAAAACAGAAACATTAAATCTGTTGGAAGACAAATTAGGTAAAAATGTTAAAGACATAGCGGTAGGTAGAGAATTCATGAACAGGAATCTAACCGCACAGGAAATACTTCCCAGAATCAATAGCTGAGATCATGTTTTATTAAAAAGTTTCTGCATGTCAGAATAAATCTCCAGCATAGTGAAAAGAAAACCCACAAACTGGGAAAAAATCTTAGTGAACTGTCCCTCAGATGAAGGACTTTTGTCTAAAACATAAAGAATCAAAAAAAAAAAAAAAAATCAGAGCCCTGAAATTCAAAGACCCAATCCAAAAATGGGCATCTGAGATGAATACACAGTTCTCAGATAAAAGAAATGCAAATGGAAAATAAATACATGAAAAAAGTTCATCATCATTACTCATTAGAGAAATGCGTATTAAAACAACCCTGAGATTCCATCTCCAGAAAGAAAGGCCAGGATCAAGAAAACTATGAACAACAAATGCTGGAGAGGCTGTAGGGAAAAAGGAATTCTCCTGCACTGTTGGTGGGAGTACAGACTGGTGCAACCACTTTGGAGGTCAGTCTAGAGATTTCTCAAAAACCTTGGATTGGAAGTCCCATTTGTTCCAGCTATTCCACTTCTAGGCATATTCCCAGAAGAACTGAAAACATCATACCACAGTGATATATGTGCACCCATGTTTATAGCAGCACAATTTGTAATAGCCAGATCTTGGAAACAACCTAAGTGTCTATCAACTGAGGAATGGATAAAAAAAGTTATGGTATTTTTATACAATGGAGTACTACTCAGCTATAAATAATGACCACATTGAGATATTTATAAATAAATGGATGCAACTTGAGACCATACTTATAAGCGAAATAAATCAAACTCACATGTATAAATATCATATAGTCTCCCTAGTGTAAGAAATGGTAAGAGTACATAAGAGTTTATGATAATCATGATTCCCCATTATATTGCTTTGAAGCCTTATAATGATTGCATTCATTAGTTGGAATGGTTTTTACCCTGGTTTGATTTTATTATCTGTCATAGTATGAACAACTAATTTGAAGAAAACAAGACATTAGAATAGCCAGTGCTGATTTAATATCATCTTATTCTGAAGTCCTACTATGCTTTTGTTCTTCTGTTTTCCTTCGTTCTATCATGTTATATCTTATTACATATTATTATGTGATAGTATAAACAAATTTTATATGGAAAGTGAGATAATATAGTAGCCATTGTTCACTTTCTGTTATTTGGTTCTGAAAGCTCTGTGATGCTTTCATTCTCTTGAATGGTTTTATACTGTTTTGTTATGTTTGATACTATCGTATATAAAGTTATGCTCAACTATTTCAAAGAAAGAGACATTATGGTAGTTAGTGTTAATTATGGGTTGTCTTGTGGTAAAATGCTGTGTTGCTTGCATTGTTCTGATCTGATCTGCTTTGTTATGTCCTCTTTGGTCTTAATCGCTTTAAAATAAAAAAAAATAATCACTGCCACCCTGCTGTGGCCCCACATTTCTCTTACCCTTTCTCTCCTTTTTGTAGAAATCATGCTTCTCCTTACAGTAGGACAGTGGCACTAGCAGTTCCACTTAATGATGATAAAACTGAGCATAGCCTAGGTAGACTGGCAATGCACAGGGCGTCTGTCTCAGCAGCACAGCTGACTGCCTTTGTCAAGAGCACTGTCCTGGAGGGTGACAGGAAGCCTGGATGGTCAGCTGTCCAAGGAGCTACAGGGCAGTGCAGCTCCTGCCTCCAGAAGCAGTGGTTCCAGGCTCTTCCCAGTGGGGATAGACTTCTGTGTGCGCTTGCTGCCACCCAGTGGCAGATGAGGCAGGCTGGCTTTGCTGCCCCTCAGGAAGCAGGGCATGGGTAGAGCAATCTAAAGGTTCCCACCCTTCCTCCCTCACCCAGGCCTCCCAGACACCTCTCACAACTTTGAATACCATGCAGTCTGCGGTTTCTCAGGAGCCCTAACAGTGCCTTGGCGTCCCTTTTCTCTGGTCACTTCCTGTAACAATTCTCCTAAAGTTTTTAAAGACAGAAGCAAACTATCATCTTAACTCAGTATGTGAAAAAAAATCTAACACAGATATGCAAATGGCAGAGAAAGCTCTTTCAATTTTCTAGGATAAAAATATCAGGTTACAGCCTCCTCCTGCAGGTGAGTGGAACACTGCTCCTGGAGAGGAAGAGTCTTTGGAGTTCCTCTTTCTGGACCAGGGCTTGCCTGGCATGGCATCACAGCGATCAGACTCACTGGCTGCTTGGCCCTCCCCAGCCCAGCCATCCTGCTGTCGATGACCCCAAGGATGCTGTCTACTGTCCACAGCTCAGAGAAGTCCAATGCACATCTCCCATCTCTCCCTTTATCTTAGCTGGTTGGCACTGTCTGGTCTGTCTGGGAGGGGCTGGGGCATTTCCCTTGGGGCCCCAAATCTCGGTGGCCCGGGAAAAGCTGCTTGGGCTTGCTGGGTTCCACTTGGAAACACTAGGAACAGCCTCTAAGATTGCTGCTGACTTTTACACACATGTATATACACCATACTCAGGTACACATATGCACACTGATACCCCTGCCGCACTATTTAAAGGATACGTGACCCCAGGATCACCTGACATCAAGTTGGAAGTCTGGGGGCCTACATCACTTTTCTTACTAACCATGGAGCATACAGTTTCAAACAGCCTTACCCCTGCTTTTCAAGGCAACTCATTTAAGGTGTACCAGGCAGACAGACATGGTAACACAAAGGTGTCGTCTCAGACTCTAGTTAGACGCTGGCAGCACTGCCAAATGAACCTGGGGACATTAGGTAATCTCCTCGGGCCCAAGGCTCACAACGATTCCACTAAGCTTCCATGCCAACTTGAGTCTGTTGAGCTGTTTCATGTGAAGGAGAAACATGTCTATCTTGCTCAAAGTACTGTTTCTGATCTGTGCTGCTAGCTGTGTAAAGAAGACATTCTCAAAATGCCAAAATCACTTTAGAAAATCCACGATATTCCTCCATCAATAAAGTATCAAAGAGTGTTGAATGACTTAGAGATAAGAGAAATGATAAGTCTTTTATTCTTAGGGTCAGTCACATAAATAGACTAAATCAGGCTCTCTCCTGTGTATTTACCTATCAGAAATTAACTACATTGCTTTCAAAGATTGTAAGAAAAATACTAGGCAGCAGCAGTATAAGCAATTCCAACAGCAACACCAGATACATGTGACACACATGTACATGACTCCAGGGTCTTAAACTAACACTTCGGGATTTCTTCATAGTTGTTGACCTAGTTGGCAGCAGGACATCCTGACATCCAGAATGCTGTAACTGGGGAAACTTCAAATCTCTCATGCCATGTCCCACGACTTTTCACTGAGCCAAGTTAGATTCCTTCAGATCATGTTACTGAGGCAGAATTGCATCTGCTTGCTTTTCTCTTGAACTGATGCAACTCTAACATATGTCCAGAACAGAAAAATCCCTTGCTGCTGCAGATTCACCAAGCCGTAGGTAAGAAGGGCAGGCACAGAATTCCGGAACTCGGTTTCCCAAGGAATGTTACCTTGTCGCTAAGCTGTGTCGTGTGTCCTGTCGACGGAGCCACAGAGGCTCCTTGGAGTAAAAGTGGGAGGCAGCTGTGTTCCTTTGGAGGCTTTGGACACTGGGCTGTTTCTGCCATTCAAAATTCCCAGGTTCGTGTAAAGGTAAGGCAGCCTTTTGGTGAAAGGTGAAAGCCTTGTGAGGCTGGGATGGCAGGAGCTCTCGTCACCCACAACATGATTCAACATCAAGTATTTTTCTATAGTTTAAGGTATGAGTTATTTAATGGCCATCGAGTCCATCTCCTTTTTAAGACATTTAGAGCACAGTGAAAGTCCAATGGAGCTGCTGCCTGCCCGCACTGCCCTCCCCGGGGAAGGAGCTCCTCAGGCAGAGCCCAGGGCTTCCCCCCTCAGAGGCCAGCGTGACTGCTCCACGGTTTCTCAGCATATTTTATTGTGATTAAAACCATACATCTTCCTTCTACCAACATTACTGTACCAGTTTTTCAGAAATATCTTATTAGATATCTTCAAACGAAAACATAAAATAAGTCTGTCGTAAGGTAACAGGGCATTACAAACAGTAGTTGTTTAATGCATATTTTAAAATTTAAGTCGGACTTTTAAGAGAAAGCCATTTGAGCCACTATAGCAACACACCATGAGCTGGGCAGGGTACAGGCAGGGGGAGTTTATTCCTCCTGGTTCTGGAGGTGGAAAAGTCCAAGATGGCACTGCAGACATGGGGCCTGGAGGGTTGGGCATTTTGCCATAAGCGCCTCTCTCGGCATCCTCACAGGTGGACAGGAAGAGCAGCTCTTGGGGCCCCTTTCCAGGCACTATTCCCATCCTTGGAGGCCCACCCACCCAAGTGGCCCATGACCCCCATGGTCCTCTCACTCACACTTGTGATTACAGGTCAGCATATGAATGGGGTGTAAACATCCAGATCCCATCACACAGAAAATCTACTTATAGAATTTTAGTGATATATGTGCATACAATATTTACTGCCTTCATCCTTTAAACACTATTCATAAAAAAATGAAAAGCCATACATCATATTAAATGTCCTGCAAACCAAAGCATCTTTTCAAAGTGTAAGTACACGATAAGTTTCAGAATTCCAGGGGAACTGCTATTTTCAAAAAGAAGAGAATCCTCTGCATTGTGTTCTTGGTGACCTGTAATACCAAAATTTAAAGTGCCTCCCTAAAACTCAAATGTACCCAAGAGAAGCAGGGTGCGTCAAACACATGGTAGAAAAACTGAATACTCCCTGACATGTGAGTCCACCCATCATGTTACAGATGAGAAAGCCAAAGTCTAGAAAACAAATCACTTAATTTGCAGTCATTCTTCTGGTGAAAGGTGAAACTGGGTCTATAAATCTCATTTTTATAGACAAAAGTTTTAATTAGAAAGTAAAAGAAACTGGTAAGAGACTGGAGCTTGAGGATCTGACAAAGCTCATGCTGGCCCTGAAGAAAGGAGAGAGAAAAAACAGGTGCAGGCTCCAGCCTGAGCACCTGCAGGACCCAGAGTTCAATTTCTAGAACATGGATATGTGTAACACAGCAAATCATACTGAGCCAAAAGAATGCTCTGTTGTAGCTAAAATAAAAGGTGTATTCCCGATTCTAACATCATGAATGAGCCTCCCAGGTGAGAAAGGAAACATCCAGAGGCCACCAAAAACCAGCCTTCTTAGATCTTGAAAGTAATATCACATCATCAAGACAGCTTATAGAATTCTTTCCTACGTGTTAACACATTTTCTTCTCCACATGGCCGTGAATTCACCAAGAGTTGTAATATTACCTTTCATCCCCTCAAACTACGTTGTAGCATCTAAAAAACGTTTGTTGAGTGACTAAAGGAACATTAAATATTACTGAATGTCACAGAAAACAGGGCCAATGTTCTTGACTTTGTTACCTACAGCTGTAATATCATCTTTGGGATATTTTTCCTTCTTTAGATTTTACCATCCTTTCAGAAGGTGATGAAAATATAAGATGCTAGTTTTCTTAGAGTACAATATGAAAGATCCCTGTGGGAAGTTAAATAGGGCTGAGCATGGCGGCGCACACAAGTCATTCCAAAAACTCTGGGAAACTGAGGCAGGAGGATCATAAGCTCCATCCCAGCCTCGGCAGCTCAGAAAGTAATACGTCAAAAGAAGGGAGGAGAGAGGGAGGAAAGGAGAGAAAGATAGAAGAAAAGGAAGGAAGGCAGGCCAACAGCAGGGGGAGGGGGAGAGAAAACTAATATAAACAACATTTGTGGGGATCGTATTTTACAGCCATCATCTAAACTTGCCATATCAAAACTGATGATAATATAATGCCTTTCTGTTGCTAAGCCGCAAGCTGACATTATATACACATAAAAATAATATGCTTCAAGCTTTTCACACATATTTTGATTTTTTTTCCCAGAGAAAATTTTTAAGTTCCACTCCTGGCTATATCTTTCAATGTTTACAAAAACTTGATTTCCAACCCAAACAGCTTCCTATCATCATGATGTGAGGAATAATCCAGTGCAAAGATAGAGAGAGGCTGGTGTGCGGGGTGCTCGGGCTTCTCATCGGAATGACTGTGCCTCTGATTTCAGGGCGTGTGCTTTGGAAGTGCACTCAAGCACACTGGACCCGCGGAGCACGCTGCATGCAGCAGGGAGAGGGAGACTGCCACTCGGGGACCATGGACCTCGGCTCCCCGCCATCCACTCAGCTGAAGAGCAGAGGCTGCCGCAGTAGCGGGAGAAGTGGGAGCTGCTTTCTCGTCAGGCACACCCCTCACCCCAGGAGAGTCTGCCACATCAAAGGTAGAGAACTCAGAGCCATGCTTAGGGCTCTGGGTGATTTGGGTTCACCACACTGACTGGGCCACCGTCCACCGACAAAGCATGGACACTGGTGACTGGGATCAGAGGCCAGAACGGGAAGCCAAAGCAGAGGGTGGTGGGGCTCTCCTTGTTGGACACCGGCCTGTAATTGCTGCAAGGTTGAGACGGGCTGAAGAGGGGTTCCAGCTGCCAAGGAAAGATGACCTTGGGACAGCACTGACCAAAAAGTTCCAAAGTAGGTCAGCCTTTTAACTCCCCACACAGCCATACTCACACCTACGTGCTAGATGCCAGCCTAGGGAGGCACTCACTGTATCCCTTCTTCTCTTTGTCCCCTTCCTCTCTCCTTCCCTCCACACTATCTGGCTCTCTTTCTTTCCTTCTCTCCTGCCTCTCTCCTGTCTTTTGCTCTATTCATACAATAGACTTCTTGAAAATTAGACAATGACAGTATCTTCTCTCAAATTACCTTCAGCTTAAAAAGGTAATACTTATGTGTACACTTTTTACACATATTTTGGGTTCTGAGCAAAAAGGAGACATGTTTTGAGAGTTGCTTTCTCAAGGTCACGCAGTGTGGGGAAAACAGGTGGATGGCCTCGGAGTGATGGTGGAGCCAGTGGTTTGCCCAGGATGGGGGCACTCATCCACCCATTGCACCCTCTGCATTGCCTTCTAGGAGGCACTGTGTCATCCCCCACCCCACAGATGGAAGCACCACTGCTCTCCACTGCTGGAGAGAATACTCAACATTCATGGTTCATGGGGGGAAACGTCTGTTTGGGGTCACATTTCAGAGGTTTGCACCCACGGACAGCTGACTCCAGGCTGAAGAGGAAAGCTGCTTGCCTCGTGGCTGCCACAGAGCAGTGCCGGGGAGAGCCGAGAGGAAGGGGCAGAGGACAGAAGGCTCCAAGGTCATGCCCCATGACCCAGCCAGACACACCCACAGTGTGTCTCACCCCAAATCAGCTCTCAGGTTGACAATCAAGATTAACCATCACCATCGTATTACTGAAGTAGCAGAAAGCAGAACACAGAAAATCACTGTCCTGATAAAAATGAACCTTCCTTTGGGCAAAGGGCTTGGAAACAAAGGCTTCTGGGACCAGCATCCCCGCTTGCCCAACGGGACTGAGGGAGGTACACTGTAAAGTCGGAGACTCTGCAGGGAACACGGGTCCTGGTGATGGGCTGTGCAGGTGTGAAGACCAGGCGAATCTGCTTGTCCCTTTCCAGCTGTGCTTATCGTGGCTAAAAAGTGCAATGCTGTCAAAACTGGAAAGCTGAGAGGAAGACAGCAATCGTTCCCTCCACAGAGACTGACTTGATCTCTGATGTGTACCCCACCTGTTCTAGCCGTGGGAGGGGCCCACATGTCTGGAGCTCACATTTGAGCCAGTGAAATTCATGCTCCTGCAGAGTGACTGGGCATGTGCTGGAGATATGGGTCTGGTTCTCAGAAGGAAGTGAGGAGGAGAAATGCACCTTTGAGAGTCACCAACACAGAAGTGACACTTAAAGGAATGACTAGTGACCATCACTCTACTCTTGCAGATGCCCCGCCATCCATTCACGTATTCAACATGATATTCAGGCTGAAAATACTGACAAACGCTTGGCTGCAGGAGCTAGACTGCCTGGGTGCTCAAGCTTCTTGATAAAATGACAGTAATGATCACACTTTTGTTGTGGTTAAGGATATGAACAAGGGACACTGTGAACAGTCAGTGGCAGACAGCAAAGAGCATAGGAAACTGAGAAGATGGACATGCATGGTATATGGGCAGGAGGTTAGGGGGAACTGGGACTGGCAGAGAAAAATGAACTCCACTAAGGGGCCTGTGTACTCCACTAAGGGACCTGGGAACACTTTCCTTGGGAGAACCTGCTCTGAGCCCTCCATGCTGCAGGGGACACAGAACATGGTGCCCATGTTAGCAGAGCAAGAGTGGGGCTAAGCTGCCTTTCCACAGAGGCTTGAGCAAAGCCTAGAGCAGACATTGAGAAGGAAGCTGGTGCAAAGCTCAAGACAGCCGACTGCTGTAAAGGGACCGCTCCAGCCAACGGAGCCCGTGTTCCCCTCAGGGAAAGACACATGAGTACTTATCTGGTAGGAACAAGACCCACGACAATGAAAAAGCTCAGAAAAACCAGCCAGGTGTCTCTGCCATCCCCCAAAAGTACCCTAGAAGAGGAAGAAGCAGCACCACTTCTCTGTGTCACAGATGCCACACCATTAAATTCCTAGTAAGACTGAGCCGGCCTTCCCATTCCACCCATGCCCACTACACTCTGCAGCAGCTGGAACAGGGAGTGGGAAGCACGGCTGAAGAATCAGGTGCAAGAAACTGAGCCACAAGCCCCTTCCACGTGCTGGCTCACAGAAGTCCAGGCACCACCGCCCGGCAAGAGGGCACGAAATGGGAGCCGAACGCAGTGCTGCTGTAGGGTTAGCTGTGCAGCAGCAAATGCGTGGCCCTCTTGATGGAGACTTTGTATAAAAAAAAAAAAAAGAAAGACTACTTCAAGTTACTTGGTTTTTAAACCAAGATTTTAATTAGTAACTTGTACTTTTTATTCTCCTTAATTTTAAAATGTAATTTATAAGTCATGCTGTTTTACTTATAAATCTAGTAAATTTTTCTACTAGCACATGTTTGTCATACACAGTGCTTCCATTCAGCTTGGGGGCTGATACTAATAAACTCAGATCACTTTTCACTCCTCCTCCTCTGTGCCCCATCTCTCTTCCCCAGGCCCCTTTGATGTCTCTCCCAAGACTACCTCCCAGTTTGCTCACATGAACTTCATTGTGCTCTTATAAAACGGCTATATTTTGGGTTTCTCATATTAGAGATACCACATGTAACCGGGGTTCTATTCAAGAAGTCTTTGTTATGCCTGTCTTCAAGTGTTATACCAATTTTTTCTTCCAGTAAATTCAGTGTTTTTGTTTGGGTCTTTAGAATTTTGACTTGATTTTAGCATAAGGTAAGAGATATGGATCAAAATTCACTCTTCTTCATGTGGATAACCAGTTTTCCCAGCACCATTTGTTAAAGAGCCATCTTTTCACTAACATATATTGTTGGCTCTTTTGTTAAAAATCAGCTGTCTGAGATGCTCAAGGCTGTTTCTCCATCCTTTACTCCATTTTATTCATCAATACGTCTGTTTTTATGTCAGTGCCATCCTGTCTTTACTACTGTGGCTTTGTAGTACGTCTCACTTGAACTCTGAGACTGTAATTCCTCCTTTTGTTGCCTAATTTTGCTTTGAGTATTCTGGGTCTCTTCTATTTTCATGTTACGAATTATTTTTTCTACTTCTGTGGAAGAAAGTCAATCGTACTTTGATGGAAATTGGGTTAAATTTATATATAATTTTTGGCAATATTTCCATTTGGACCATGTTAAGTCTGCCTACCCCAAAACAGAGAATGCCTTTTCTATTTTCTAATGTCCTCTACAATTTCTTATAGCAAAGGTTTCCATTATACAGGTCTTTCATTTTCTTGGTTCAGCTAATTTCTAAGTATTTACATTTTTTTAATCTAATGTGAACAGGATTGTGTTATTTCCTAGGAAGCTCATTCTTCATGTATAGAAGTGTTTATTTTTGTGTGTGTTTATTTTGTACCATGCTACTTTGGCTGAATTTACTTATTAGTTCTAAGAGTCAAGTTTTTGGGATCCACTATGTAGAGAATCATGTCATCTGCAAATAAAGATATTTTATTTTTCTTTTCCTATTAAAACCCTTTTATTTCTTTCTCTTACCTACTTGTTCTGGCTAAAGCTTGAATTTTTGAACAGGAGTGTTGAGAGTAGATACGCAGTCTTATTCCTAATTTTAATGGGAATGATTTCAGTACTAGCATGATGTTGGCAGCAAGTTTGTCATAATTGAGACAAGAAGATGGTAGCTTGATAGGTGGCCAAATGGAGAACCTCTCTGGGAAAAACAGCTCAGACGCTGGAATTTCACAACATGGAGAGGGCTGGACAATGGGAGAGGGATTCTCAAGATCTAGAAGGAAACTAAAGGAAAAAGAAAAATAGAAAGAGGAAGGAAAAACGTGGGTGGAGGGCTGGAGCCAGAGGCGCTCACTGAAACCAGTCCCGTGCTGTGCTGGGCACACCGTGGAGTTGGACAATTCAAGATCTTCAAGATCGTGCTGAAGCCATGGCCGCCATTAACAGGAGTTGGTGAGTCCCAGGCACTTGGCGGGAGGATGCGGCACAGCGTGGAGTGGAGCCAAGGTAGACAGCTGCATTAATTCTCGATGAGTCCTGGAAACTGGATCCTGTGGTAGGTGTAGCTGGCAGGTAGACATATTGGAGTTGGGCAGAGCAAGGCCTGAGCCTGGAGCTGCGGTGGCATCAGCCAGCCACCCCTGGCCCAGAGAGGACTGCTGGGATCTGCTTGGGCCGAGCCACACCCCTGGTCGGGACCCAACAGCCAGGGACAAAACTGTCCCATCCTTGTGACATTCGCAAAGCACAGGCTAAATTGCTGAAGGCACTTGCCAGTTAACTGGCTCAGAGAAAAGTGGTTAGCTCACAGTCCCTGAGTGCACCTCGGTTAACAGCAACCTGGAGAGGGCAGCAAGCACCAAGCCAGCATGCTTCAGAAAAACCTTAACCAATATAGAGAGGAACTGAGACCTCCACCATACACCTGTCTGAAAGAAACCAAAAACATGACAAGAGAAAGAAACAAGAAAAAACTTCCAGCCGCTGACCCTGGGAAAATAAGCCCAGGAGAGGTAAATACGGAAGAGAACCAGTGCAGCAATCATGCAACATTGGCCAAATCAGCGGACATAAAGAAAGACCTTTGTGACCTCATAGACAAACTTAAAAGTGAAATTCTAACCCAGGTGAGGTAAGATATAAAAAGATTAATAAAAGAAATGCTAAACCCTCTAATAAGACACAGATGGAGACATGGTACTGATAGGCCAATCTTGGATAAAGTTTTGACTCCCAGACCAAGATCAAAGATTTGGGCCTACTTCTCAGGTCTGAAAAGATGGCAGAACGTTGGAAGAAGCATGCCTTGCAAACAAAATTGGCTACTTAGTTAAAGAATGTCCACCTAGACTGGACAGTACAATGTCCAGTGTTTTATGTACATTTAACAATATTTGATTGGGAAAGTGATACTTGTTGAAACAAAACCTGCAAAGACCTAATCTGGTTGTTTGATCTTTTTTTAATCATTACTCCCCTAGGCTTGAATAATATTCCAATCTGTACTGTGAAGGATGATGAGCTTGTACTCAGAACACTGCAGGGAGGTGACCAGTTCAGCCACCTAGACAAAAATGATACACCCCCTTCCAAAGGCAACTACCTGCCCATTCCTGCAGCCCCAGAGAGCCCTGTCCGAGGAGTATCGCCAGCCTCAAACAGTTTCAAGATGCTCTTGCGGCCACATTCTGGTGAGTACCTCTCAAGTGATGGAATGTTTTCTTAGGCTCTTACAACTAACTGGAGGGTAGTATCTATAAAATTACTAAAAGAGATGTAGCAATTTTTAAATATTCATGTGATTTTCTCAGTATGAAATTCATTATAAAAGTTTCATTATAAAAATGTTGATTTGTCGGGCTGAGGATTTAGCTCAGCGGCATAAGCACCTGCCTTGCAAGCAGGCGGTCGTGAGTTCAATCCCCAGTACCAATAAAAAAGAAAAAGACAAAAAAAAAAATGTTGATTTGTCTAATCTTAGTGAAATAGCATAATAATGCTAATAGAGATTGTTACTGCTCTGTGTCTAAGACATACACAGTGTAGTCATAATCACTGATTTCTACAGAAGTGGATAACAGATGCCAGATATTAATGCTTCACCAACAGCAACAAGGAAACTATGTCAGCCAAAAAGCCAGTCTGGAAGACAGAACAGGACAGTTTCACATTTTCAGGATCCCAGTGGGATTCCCCTCTCCTTGGTGTCTGCCCAGGTCCCCATCATTAATGCCGACTGAAGTAAAAGTAAAATGTAGCAACATCTAAATGACACTGCAAAATAAGAAGGGTTCTGTATAATAAAGAAGTAATTGTCTTTCTCTGCTCGTATATAATTACATGTTATTACTAAAGCTTTCAGGGCATTTGAAGCTATTCAGAGAATGTAAACTGTGAGTCTGCCTAATGATAATGAGAGTAGTAACTTGTCCAATACTCACTATGTTGTACACATCTAAGGTTTTCACGCCTACTAACTCATCTCTTCCTTCCACGAGTTCTTCCTCCTTTTCTTCTCGAAATGATGAAACCTGTCTTGTTCCATCTTTCTGGTGCCCTTTCCTACCTTGTAGGACCTAGAAACTAAAAATTACGTTTTAGAGACAGAATTCCTTCAGGGAACTGTTTACCACACCCAGTGAGACCCACGGCACGCTGGGCTTGCAGTCTTTTTATTCTTTTCTATCACCAAGCACAACTGGAAATACTAGCTTTTCCTTCCACAGCATCCCCATGTGCCGATTGTGGGATGTCAGTAGATAGCATCTGCAGGAACCATGGCTTTCTGATTGTGGCACTGCTCCTGTGCCTACCCTGAGCCCTCATGGATGCATCAGGGGCGTCCCTGCCCCTTCCTCTAACCATAGTGCAGACTGTACCTCCCATGATGGCTCTTAGTGTGATCTGTGAGATCAAAACCAGTCCTTATAGCACTACAACAACTCTTAATCCTCCGTGTTATTTACCTGCTTAGTGAAACTGAGTAGGTTCTGTTTCCACAACTGAACACTGACCTTATATACTTACCACCCACATTGTTTTCATGACTTGTAGAGAGGTAACATTATTTTCCTACATTTTTTCAGATAAAGCAAATGGATTCCATTACCATTGAGAATATGCTTAAAATCTGTTCATCTTTTTAAAAACTGTGTTAACTGTGGCTTTGGTAAAGCGATAGCATCTCTTATATAGAGTATACCTTTAAATTAATATACCTTTAAACTAATTTTAAGGAGGCCAAGTGCAATAGTGAATCTTACTACTAGTGAATCCTACTAGTAATCCTAGCATTTGGGAGGCTGAGGCAGCAGCACTGCTGCAAGTTCAGAGTCAGCCTAGGCTACACTGTGAGTTCAAGGCTAGCCTGAACTACATAGTAAGCCCCTATCTCAACACCCCCTCCCCACTGAAAAAATAAATGTAAAGAAAAATTAAATAAATCTTTGAGTCACTTTAGGATAATTTAAGGGGATTTGGTGAGATGATTAAATAAGGGGAGGGTTGAGAGGTTAATAAGAAACAAAATAAAAATATAATTATACCTCAGCACAAAATTCTGTCTTCAGGGCAAATAACACACATCAATTCCCTTTTAAATAGAGAAAATGACAGACATTGAGGACATTAAACAGAGACAAACAGTCAGATGCATACTCTTAAATGAGTCTTACTAGATCAAGAAAGCATTTGAAGTACTTTATGTTATCATTTTGGCAATATAACTTTTAAAATAAGTGTATTTTTATTACATGATTATAATGGAATTCTGTGTTCAATATTTATAAACAAGTCCCTCAGTTGACTTTAAATTCATATATACTCCTATGTATTTCAGCAACTGACACACATATCATGTGACAGAAATTCTTTTTCAGCTCAGTTTAAATGTTTCCACAATTTATTTCAGAGCCCAGTAGAAAAGTCAATGAGTGCTTCAAAACTTCCAGTGACAACCCCTTTGTAATACAGAAGGTAAGGAAATAGCTATTTTTACTCACTTACTTTGACAGCTAGTATTTCCTTTCTCTTTGCATAGCTTCTTGAAAAGTCACCATGTTTCACAGTATTTTTACAGCTTTAGAAAGATATAATTAATGTGATATAAATTGTACACATTTCAAGTGAACAATGTGATGTTTTGACAAATACATATTTTCACCTGTAAAGCTACCAACAAAATCAAAAACACGCACACATTTATCACTCCTAAAAGTTTCCTTGTGACTCTGCATCTCTGAGAGGCAAAAATTTATCTGCTTTATATGATTAAAGATTAGCACAGATTTTTTTAATGTTCATACAATAAAACCACATGGTGAATTTTCTTTTAAATTAGTTTCTTTGACTCATCGTTATTTTACAACAGCTTATGAGTACACAATTATGCATGTCCATCTTGTATGTCTATTTCTTTTTATTTTGAGAAGTGTTCAGTTCTATGGTTTTTTCAGTTTGCTTATCCACTCAACCAACTATTGTTTCCAATTTTTTTATGAAGCTTATATGGACACCTATATACAAGTCTTTGTCTGGATTTGTATTTTTTCTTTTCTCTTTGGTAATACACAAGAGTAGAATGAGTCTTACAGTGGTTTTATGATTAGAATTTGAAAGACTGATCAAATTGTTTTCCAAACTGATGGTACCGTTTTACATTCCCACTGACATACATGAGTTTATTTCCTTCACATCCTCCCAAAACTTAGTATCGCCAGTCTTTTTTATAAATGTTAGCCAATGTAGTGATATAAAGAAGTATTCTACTGTGCTTTCAATTTTGTATCTGTGATGACTAATGAGATCCACATCCTTCCATATTCTTGCCATCCATCTGTCTTTTTATGGAAAGCGTATGTTCAAATCCTTTGCCCCTTTTTGAAATTGGGTCATTGGTATTTATTATAAAAGTTCTTTATAAGGAGCAAAGATGGCGGATAGATAACAACTGACTACAGAAGCTCCCTCAGACAGTCAACTTAGAATTCAACATAATACAGAGTGGCGAGCCGTGTCATGATGTGAAATCCAACAATACTATTATTCTTTGTTCAGGATGATTTTAACCTGCTTTAGTTTGTTTAATCTAAACATAAATGAAGATATGGGTAATTGCATGTATGTTTAAGTGTACAGGATTGACAAACATGTTACCAAGTTTTTGTTGGACAGTTCAACAGAACTTTTTGCAGTCTCGCTGTTTAAATTCCCCCTTTACATGTTCCATTTTTGTACCTTGAACAACTATTTGTAAAATGACAATATGTAAACATCAACTAGTGATTTCTTACTGTTTATGTTTTTTTCTTTGAACGTATATATTATTTCTACCTATTTTGTGTTTTGTTTAGTCTTTCTTTAAATAAAATTTGAAAAGAAATTTTAAAAAAATAAAATAAATTTGCCATTTGTATTTCTTCATCTGAGAAGTGTGTATTCATCTCAGATGCCTATTTTTGGAATGGATCTTTGAATTTTGGGGGTCTGATTTTTTTTAATTCTTTATATGTTTTAGACAGAAGTCCTTTGTCCGAGGGACAGTTCACTAAGATTTTTTCCCAGTTTGTGGGTTTTCTTTTCACTATGCTGGAGATTTCTTTTGACATGCAGAAACTTTTTAATAAGAGGTGATCCCAGTTATTGATTCTGGGAAGTATTTCCCATATGGTTTGAGTCCTGTTCATGAATTCTCTACCTACTCCTATGTCTTCAAGGTTTCTACCCAATTTGTCTTCCAATAGATTTAGTGTTTCTGTTTTAATATTCAGAACTTGATCCATTTAGATTTTAATTTAGTACATGGTGATAGGCATGGGTCTAGTCTTAGTTTTTGGCATAAGGAGAGCCAGTTTTTCCAACACCATTTATTAACGAGACTGTTGTTCTTCCAGTGAACCTGCTTGGCTCCTTTATCAAAGATAAGGTGGTTGAGTGTGTATGTAGTTGTGGTTGTATCTTCTAATCTATTCCACTGATCTTCGGCTCTGTTTTGATTCCAGTAGCAAGTTGATTTTACTACAGTTGCTTTGTAGTATAACTTCAAGTCAGGGATTGTGATGCCTCCTGTCTTGCCTTTGTTGCTTAGAATTGTCTTTCCTATTCTAGGTCTCTTCTCGCTCAGATGAATTTTAGGAGTGATTTCTCTAGATCAATGAGGTATATTGATGGTATTTTTATTGGGATTGCATTGAATCTGTATAACAGTTTTGGGAGAATAGCCATTTTCACAATATTTACTTTTCTTATCCATGAGCAAGGGATATCTTTCCATTTTCTGAGATCATCTTCAATTTCTTTTTTCAGTGTGTTATAATTTTCCCTGTATAGGGTTTTCACTTTTTTCATGAGAGTAATTCCTAAATATTTCTTTTTTTTTTGGTTGCTAATGTGAGGGTGTGGCTTCTCTTCTTTCTCTGTGATTTTGTTGTTAGTGTATAGGAATGCTATTGATTTCTGAGTATTGATTTGGTGTCCAGCTACATTACTGAATTTATTTATTATATCTAAGAGTCTTTCAATGGAGTTTATGGGGTCTTCTATGTAGAGTATCATGTCATCTGCAAACAATGATAATTTAACTTCTTCTTTTCCTATCTTTACCCTTTACTTATCTCTCTTGTCTAACTGCTCTGGCTAGTTTTTCCAGTACTATATTAAATAGGAGTGGTGACAAAGGACATCCTTGTCTTGTGCCTGATTTTAAAGTAAAGGCCTTCAATTTTTGGCCATTTAGTATGATACTGGCTGTTGGTTTGTCATAGATGGCCTTTATTATATTGAGGTAAAGACCATCTATTCCAATTTTCTGTAAAGTTCTTATCATGAGTCAATGTTGGACCTTATCAAAATCTTTTTCTGCATGTATAGAAATGATCATGTGATTCTTACTTTTGGCTTTATTGATATGGTGGATTACATTTATTGATTTACGTATTTTGAACAATCCCTGCATGCCTGGGATGAATCCCACTTGGTCCTGGTGTATAATCTTCTTGATGATTTACTGCATCCTATTTGCCAATATTTTATTGAGGATTTTTGCATCTGTGTTCATTAGGGAGATTGGTCTATAGTTCTCTTTTTTAGTTGGGTCTTTCTCAGGTTTTGCTACTAGAGTAATATTTGCTTCCAGGAACGACTTAGGAAGGATTGCTTCCCTTTCAATTTCATTGAAGAGTTTGAGGAGTGTAGACATTAGGTCTTTGTATTTCTTGTAGAATTCTGTAGTGAATCTGTCTGGGTCTGGGCTCTTCTTTGTAGGTAAGGATTTTACATTTTCAATTTGATTAATAGCAATTGGGTTATTCAGCACTTACATGCTCTTGACCTAGCTTTGGTACTTCATATGTTTCTAGGAATCTGTCTATTTCTTCTGTGTTATCAAACCTATGAGAATAGAGGTTTTTAAAATAGGTGTCATTAGTCATTAGAGAAATGCAAATTAAAACCATACTGAGATTCCATCTGACTCCTGAAAGAATAGCCAGGGTCAAGAAAACCATCAACAACAAATGCTGGAGAGGCTGTGGGAAAAAGGAACTCTCCTGCACTGTTGCTGGGAGTGTAGACTGGTATAACCATTGTGGAGGTCAGTCTGGAGATTTCTAAAAAAACTGGGATTGGAAGTCCCATTTGTTCTAGCTATCCTACTTCTAGGCATATTCCCAGAACTGAAAGCATCATACCCCAGTGATATATGTGCACCCATGTTTATAGCAGCACAATTTGTAATTGCCAGATCTTGGAAACAACCTACGTGTCCATCAACTGAGGAATGGATAAAAAAGTTGTGGTATTTTTATACAATGGAGTACTACTCAGCTATAAAGAAGGATCACATTGAGATATTTATAAATAAATAGATGCAGCTTGAGACCTAAGTGAAATAAATCAAACTCATATGCATGAATACTGAATAGTTTCTGTATTGTAAGAAATGATTCAAATATACAAAAGTATGTGGTAATCATGATTCCCCATTTTGTGGCTTTGAAGCCTTATAACGTTTTCACTCATTAATTGGAATGGTTTTATTCTGGGCTGTTTGATATTATTGCCTGTGATGATATGAATAGCTATTCTGAAGAAACAAGACATCATAATAGCTAGTGCTGATTTAACATCATCTTGTTTTGAAGTCCCACCAAACTGTTGTTCTTCTGTCCCCATTGGTTTTATCATGTTGTATCTTACTGGATTTTATTATATGTGATAGTATAAACAAAAATGTTTATAGGCAAAACCATTGTTCGTTTTCCATTAGCTGGTTCTAAATATCCTGTAATACTTTCATCCTCTTGAATGGTTTCACACTGTCTTGATATGTTTGATGCCATAATATACAAAGTTATACTCAAATATTTCAAAGAAACAGACACTATGGTAACTACTATTAAGTCGGTTATCTTTTGGTGAAGCACTATGTTGCTGAAATTGTTATGCTTTGACCTGTATTGTTATGTTATTATGTCCTCTTTTATCTCAATATCCCCCATTTTTAAAAAAAATTTATTTATTTATTCATTTATTATTATTTTTTCAATTAAGGGAAAAAATTTTAAAAATTAGCAGGATATATTACAGTAGCTTTTTTGATTTTCTATTAACTTGATTTAGAGCCCTGTATTGCTCCCACCATCTTGTTTGGACTGATTTTACTCTGTTGTGTTCTGTTTGATAGTATCAAGTTTGAGAATATAGGGAACTACTTTGAAGGCAGTAAGATTCAGTATGATGCCCATTCTGGTTTGACTATTATCTTCTTTTGAAGTCCTGTAATGTCCCCAATATTTAGGTTTATTAGTCTTATTCTGTACTGTTTTGTTCAATTTTATTTTACCTAATGATATAGGCAATTCTTTTTTTTTTTTTTAATTTTTTTAAATTTTATTTAAGGAGAAAAGAAAAAAAAAGCAGAGAAAGGGTACAAGTTATACAGATTTGCAGAAAAAAAATGAACAGTAGGAAATTACTAG